GGGGGGGGTGGGGGAGAAGGGGAGGGGTGACCCCGGGATGGGTGCTGGAGGGGGATGAGGTGGGACTCACCGTGGGTTGCTGCGCTGGTGCCGGTTGGGCGCCGTTCCCCGCCGAGGAGCCACTCTGCCTGTTGGCGGCCAGGCTCGCCTGAGAGAGAGAGGGGACACACACACACAGAGAGGAGAGCCACGTGCCACCCGTGTCACCGCAGCGCCCGTGGGTGCCCCGGGCAGGAGGTGCTGTACCTGCTGGACGGCGGCCAGGCTCTGGAGCTGGGCGCTGGTGAGGTGCTGCTGCTGGAGGGCCGCCGTCTGCAGCATGAGGTGCTGCTGCTGCGCCGCGTACATCTGCTGCAGGTACTGCGCCGCCGTGTTGGGCTGCCGGTGCAGCGCTTGCTGGATCACCTTGGTTTTTTGGGGAGGGGGGGAAAGTGCAAACACATCCCCAGGGCTGCACCCCCAACCCCAAAAGAAGACCCCAACCCACAGTTTTTTCCCCCCGTGGTGTACCTGGACGGTCTGGCGGTCGGGGATGCCACTGTAGACGGAGATCTGCGGGGCGGGCGGGCGCGCGGTGCCGGTGCTGCTGGGCGTCGTGGCGGTGCCGCCGGCGCTGCTGGCGGGAGGAGGCGCCGGGAGCTGCTCGTTCTCCATGGCGGTCTGCCGGGGCGCCGGGAGGAGGCGGGGGTCAGGCTAGAGCTATGGGGGGGGGACAAAAGCCCAAATTAGCACCCAGTGTCTGTTATACCCGCTCTAGGATGGCCAGGAGCCAGCAATGGTGGCCAAGAAGCCATCCTGGGGGGCATCAGGAAGAGCGTGGAGAACCTCAAGGGAGGTCATCCTGCCCCTCTGCTCTGCCCTGGGAAGGCCCCAGCTGGAGCACTGGGACCAGTTCTGGGCTCCCCAGTTCCAGAAGGACAGGGAACTGCTGGAGAGGGGACAGCAGAGGGTACAGAGATGCTGAGGGGCCTGGAGCATCTCTGTGCTGAGGAAAGGCTGAGGGACTTGGGTCTGTTCAGTCTGGAGAAGAGAAGGCTGAGGGGGGATCTGATCAACACCTCTAAATCCTTCAAGGGTGGGTGTCAGGAGGATGGGGCCAGGCTTTTTCCAGTGGTGCCCAGGGACAGGACAAGAGGGAACGGGCACAAACTTGAACATGGGAAGTTCCATCTCAACATGAGGAGGAACTTGTTTGCTGTGAGGGTGGCAGAGCCCTGGCAGAGGCTGCCCAGAGAGGTGGTGGAGTCTCCTTCTCTGGAGACATTCAAACCCCCCCTGGACACGTTCCTGTGGGACCTGCTCTGGGTGGCCCTGCTCTGGCCGGGGGTTGGACTGGGTGATCTCCAGAGGTCCCTTCCCACCCCATGTCCTTCTGGGATTCCATCCAGGTGCAATACGACTGGGGTGTGGGTGTGCCCAGGGCTGCTGCATCCTCCCATCCCCGGGGTGATTGGGATGGGCCCCCCCAAACCCTCCCTTTGAAGGGTCCCAGGGTGAAGCATCCCCCACCCCAGGGTGCACCCATGGGAGCCAGCCGGTTGCGGGGGGAAGGGTGCACCCACTTGGTCACCCAACCGGGAGCGGGAGGAGGAGGATGGTGGGATGGAGGAAAGACAGTGGGACACCCCATGGTCTGTCCTCCCCGCAAAGAGGGTGAAGGGGGACAGGGGAGGATGGACAGAAGGACGGACAGAGGTAGGGAAGGGATGACGGGAAGAATGGATGCACAGAGGAGGGAGGAAAGGGAAGGACAGAAGGAAGGACGGACAGAGGGACGGTGGGAAGGAAGGGAGAGGGAGGCAAGGACAGAGGGATGGACAGACCAACGGATAGAGGGACGGACAGACCAACGGACGGGAGGAGAAGGATGAAGGGACAGATGGACAGAAGGAAGCGAGAAGTTGGAAAGGGACAAAGGACAGGAGGAGGGATGGAAGGAAGTGGAACGAGATGGAAGGAAGCAGAGAGACCAGAGAAGGACAGATGGACAGAAGTAGGAAAGGACAGACAGAAGTAGGAAAGGGAAGGATGGAAGGATAGACAGAAAGACAGACAGGAGGAGGAAAAGGACGGATAGAAAGGGAGAGAAGGATGGACAGAGGAAAGGGACAGGAGGAGGCAGGGAAGGATGGATGGACAGAAGGACGGACAGACGGAGGGAAGGGGGAAAGGGACCAAGGACAGGAGGGAAGGAAGGAAGGACAGAAGGATGGACGTATGGGAGGGAGGAAGGACGGATGGAAAGAGATGAAGGGAGGGAGGGAAGGACAGACAGAAGGAAGGCCGGATGGACATAAGCGGGGGACGCAGGGATGGAAGGAAGGGTGGGCAGAGGAAAGGGATGAAGGGAAGAAGATATAGGAGGAAGAGGAGGGACGGAAGGACAGGGGGAGGACAGGGACAGAGGGATGGGTGCTGTGGAGGCCACAGAGGGGTTTGCGGGCAGCACCACCATCAGCACCGCCACCGTGGTGACTCTGAGGCTCCATGGCCACCAACAGCCACCCATGGCCACCACGCTCTGGTGGCCTTGTGCGTGCCAAGGGACCTCTGGTCACCAGCCCGTGACACCCGTCCCTGCTGAGCCCCTGTGCTGCCAGGGGATGGGTGCCACCACAGTGGGACCTGGCACAGCAGTGCAGGACACTGCAAACCATGGGCAGTGGCCGCAGTAGGTGGCCTCGGTGACCACAGTGGGTGGCCATGGTGGCCACACCACAGCACGGCCCCACCAAACCACACCAGCCACCTGCAGCCCAAGGGAGGTGGCAGTGGTGATGTCCCCAGCCTCGGTGGCCCATGGGGTTGTGTCTCCTCGAGGGCACCAACGCCCTGGAGCACGAGGTGGGATGTGCCCGTGTCCATGGTGGTGGCAGCACATGTCCCCACCGCTGTTCGTGTGACATCCCCACGTGTGGCCTGTGACACGTCCCAGCCTCGGGTCCGTCGGTTGCCACATGTCCACCACGAGCCAGAGAAATTTTGGGACAGGCTTTCCCCCACCGAGCGGCCATGGACCTTTTTTCCTCCCCCCTTGAGAAGAGCTTGGTGGCATCAGGGTGACACAAGGCCACCACACAGGGAACACACCAGGCCCACATGGAGCCAAAATTCCCCCCCCCCGGGAGGAGCACGGCACAGCCAGCCCCACCACCCACCCGACCCCCCCATCCTCACCCACACCAAACCCCATGGACTTTGGGGTGCTGGGGGGGGACACCTCACTTTTGAGCCACAGGTGACAGCAGGAACGCGCTTCTGACCCCTGAAAACCCCCCCAAAAACCATTATCCTCCCCCATAAATAAATAAAAGGAGTCTGGTACCACCGGGCGTTGCAGGACCCGCCATGTGTGGGGGGTGTGGGGGGGTCCCACAGGCAGCACGGGGAGGAGCTGGAACCCCCCAGGCTGAGCCCAAAATGTGGGTGCAAAATGATGGGGGGGGAGGGGGAGAATCAAAG